CAGTGCAGATGAGCAAGAATGGTGCCTCTGGTGACATTTATTAAGCACCGGTTTCAACCCTAACGGGGATAAAGCACGTGTTTCAGAAATGATGGATGGGGTGGACCCCACACTACACACCGGGGAAGCCAGTTCAGGGCGAACTTAGAAAGTGAATCAAGTCAGCTCCAGGTGAGGGGTGGCTGGTCGTGGTGGGAAGGCACTATTGGGCATGCACAACAGTAAGCCTGGCTGTGCCGTAGAGCACTGATGCGCCGCTGGAGTCTCGGATCCGGTGAGGAGGGGACGGGAGGACGAGGTGGGAGAGGAGCTGCAGGCCTCTCTGTACAATGGGGGAGGGCGGTCTCCCTGCGGGGGAGGGGTGTGCTGCCCAAGGGGACTTGGAGGGTCCCCAAGCTCACCGCCTCCAGGCACCGCTGGGTCACTTCCTCAGCAATGAGGGCCTTCGTTCAGAAGGAAGACCCTCTCTCTGATCACCTGTTTTATGATTCTGAGGTTCCTCTGCCCCCAGAAATCACCCCCTTTAAATAAGGATGCCTGAAATCCTTCTCACGAAACTTTTTGCTTCCTAAGATGTGACAAATACAAGGGCTGACTCAGGTAACACCTGGGAAGTCGCTCGCCCAGAAGCACAGCAAGAGCCCTCCTCGGACCCGCGCCACACCGCGTGGGAACAGCCCTGCGGGCCTCACGAGGGTGTCCCTGGCCGGCAAGCGCCTTTGGGGCTGCGATCTTGCCTTTCTGACTTTTGTGCCACCCGGCCCCTGCGGGGTGTTGGTGTCTAGAGTGGGCATGCGCAATGCTGGTTGCAAGATGAAAAGGGGAAAAAATGAATGAATGCATGAATGGATGGGAATGATTCAGGGGATTTCTGGTTTGATGGGTAAGAGGGGGAGGAAAGGGGATTCCCAAGGCAGATGGCTGATCGCTGAACGATGAGACGGTTCTAGAAATGGGTTTAAAAAACCCACACATTCTGCAGTCCCATAATTTCGTGGGTCATTAGCTAACAGGGGCTGCTGGTCGGAGCCTTCTGCAGGAGCACTTGGGAGACCTGAGGGTGTGTCTGGTGTGTGTTTGTCCACTGCAATAAACACCACACTTTAAAGACACTTTATGTTAAACAGTACGTTGCCTGGGGTATTGTTCCAAGTAACTAAGCTACCCAGAGGAGTAACTGTGGAGGAAGACTGCATTTATTTTTTTGTCTCTTCGAAGCAATGCAGAGTCAGTCCGTTAAGTACCTTGGACTGAAAGTCAGCAATTCATATGTGATTGTATATGATCAAAAATATTATTTCAGGATTGATTCCTCTAGCTAAAATTTACCATGTGGACAAATAGTAATTGTGTGTTCTAGTTGCTAACGGCTTTAGATACACACCAACATGCAGGCGCCGACCGGCTACCACCACCGGCAAACCCTCCAGCACTTTTCCGTCTTGGCCTTTGACTCACTAGCAGCCCCCACGCTCCATTCCCAGTTTGGTCAACGAGACGAACTCTTTAAAAGCTCCCACCAGAAGCCGTAAGACCAGCTCAAAACCTTCCTCTCGTTTGTACCTCGTGCCCTGACCCTTGTCTCCAGGATACCGAGCCCCATTTGAAGGTAGAGTTTTTTCTGTCTTATCTCCCAGATGCCTGTCCATTCTCGCCTTGGCAGAGAGCCCCCGGGGGCCGGGACTGGCAGGTGGACACATGTCCCGCTGAGCACCGGCCGCTCGCTGCCTGTGTAAGTGATCCCCGGATCTTATGACCACAGGCAGCTCATGCTCCAGAGGGCACCCGAGGCCTCCCTCTTCTGAGAAAGTCACTGGAGGGAGAGGTCAGTGTGTGGGTTTCCATGGGTAAGCCCTGGTCCAGGGTCCCAGCTACCGTGCCTCCACGTGGCAGGAGACCTGGGCAGAAGCCAAGGAGAACTGTGGTCTCTCCCATTTAGAAAATCTCAAAAATGCATCAAGTATAACAAAGATGCTAATACTTCCTGAATTAATATTCTAAGTTAATATTTAACTTAAGAAATTGAACGATTTCACAGGAAAAATGAATTCAGGCATATAAGCAGTTACAAACTTTTATTTTTGAAGTGGTTATAGACAAAGTAAAATATAAATTGCGATTTTTTTAAAGATCAATGATCAAATCAGTCATGGTATGGTGATTCTGTAAATTAAGTTATTATGAGAACTTAGTAAATAACAAACTAGAGTAAGTACTACAAGACAAGTAATGAAGAAATGAAAATACCTACTTAGGAATTAGTGTTGAGATGCCCAAGAATGGTATGGAGAACAATGAAATTGGATCATACCTTTTTACAACATATAATGTAGTGTTAGGGTTGAAAAAATAACTACCAAGAGAAGTAGAAAAGAGCAGACTAATTATCTGTTAGGGCAAATAGGCAAATGTATCTACAAAAGAGACACATTTACAATTGGAACATGAAGTGGGTCATCATATTATGAATGTGTTCATATTCAAAGAATAACACTTAGAACAATGTAATATAATAAATATCAAAAGAAAAACAACACAATGAAAAAATACTCAACACATACTTACTGCCCCAAATATATTTAAAAAATTGTTGTGAATACCGGGAAGTGTTCTGCTTTCCTGCCACAAGCAGTCGAGGAAGATTAAAAATTTACATAGAAGGAAAGTCCTGACAAATTAAATCGAATCATATGGAACATGTATCATTTTATAGCAATTAAAGAGATACAGCCCTGGCTGGCGTAGCTCAGTGAATTGAGCACGGGCTGTGAACCAAAGTGTCGCAGGCTCGATTCCCTGTCAGGGCACATGCCTGGGTTGCAGGCCACGGCCCCCAGCAACCGCCCATTGATGATTCTCTCTCTCTCTCTATCTCCCTCCCTTCCCTCTCTAAAAATAAATAAATAAAATCTTTTTTAAAAAGTTAGAAAAAGAGATACAAATTAGAATTCACAAACTGGCACAAGTAACTAAAAGACGCTGTGTTAACACGAAGCCGGTGTCGGAGGAGGACCCACGGCAGACAAGAGTCCCGTCGCATTGCAGCAGGCTCCTCGTTTCCGTGGAGCAATTTCTCGATAGGCAGCAGGAGCTCGAAAAACACTTTTGAAATGTTCAACCTACCCATTCCGTCTGGGGAACATATGAGAAGAAAAAAACACAGGAGGAAGTAAAATGTGTGCAGAAGCATTTCTATAGCAGCGTTATTTTCCATCATACACAGAAGAAACAGTTCTATGCATCATAATTAAAAGGAAAATGGATTGGGCAATTGCTCTATATTGACAGGATGGAATGCAAGACACTATTGTAAATTAAAGAGGACTAATACGTGGATTGTGGTGGTCCATGGACATCCATATGTGCAGCTGTGGTCAGTGAAATTAAACAGCAAACACGTCTACCGCTGGGGTGTACAGTCCTTGGGGGCTGGGCCATATCTTACGTTGAATCTACAGGGCCAGCCTTTGCTCCTGGCACACAACAAGTGCTCAGGGGTTTGTCAAATGAATGCATAGCTGGCTTTTCTGTTTTCCCTGAGTTCTTGACCTCCTGCCTGCCGTGACCTTGGTGTTATGTGCACTTAGCTAGCTTTCGCAGTGCTCACCTGCCTTTCCGAACTCTAGCCTGCCCCAACCTCAGATAAAGGCATACCCCTGGCAGCCCTGGCATTCGACTAGTGTGACCTCTGCTCTAATGAAGTCTCCGGACCCGGGGTGACACACAGCTGCAGCTCAGGCAGCACCTAACCTGATGTCTGCATTCATCAGCACGCGTGTGGGAAATGGAATAAACTGGTCAGCGCCCACCACAACAGTCACAGCTACGGGCAGAGAATGGAACAGGGTGAAGAGTGTCGAGTTACAACCTCACTGCAATCATTCTGGGGGAGAGACCAGCTGTATCTGAAAAACTCGTGTGATTTTAAGAACTGCCTAAAAAAACACTAAGGCTCAAAGCTCCTAGTTATGTATATTTTCAAAAACTAATGTCAGTAGTGCTAAATATCCGATGTCCTCCCAACCCCAGACACCTGTTAGAAAAAGACAGATACAGCCAAGGATTCGACCTTCTCTTAATATCCTGGTCACCCAGCTACTCTAACGGGAATGCCAACGGTGCTGACCCTCAAGGGGCCACCAGCTGCCTGAGCACCTTCTGCCCAGAATAAGTGCTGAGATGCCGTTCAGAGCAGAGTGGCACTTTAAGCTCTTAAGGTACTTAGAAAATGCGTCCTATAAGGTCCCTTTTCTTAGCATCATCAGGCTGTGTGTCAGGGGGTGACAGGCTGAACAAACAGAAAAGCAACACTCTCACACACACGCACAGACGCTGAAACAACTATTCACTTCGTGGCCCCCCGCGCTGGCCCTCCCTGGCGGCTCCGAGTGCCAGGCACACAAACATTTGATAGCAGAATGACTGATTGAACGCTTGAATGGAGAGAAGAGGGGAATCAGCAGGTTGCCAGATTCTATTAGGAAATCACGGCATCAAGTGACATTCGTATTTATTTTGGAGGATCTTCACTATTTGTGAGAGCACACAGCTCTGAAGAGGCCCCGATCCAGGCAGCGAGCTGTGGCCAGGGACACCATTCCGGGGAAGGAGGGAAAAAATTAGCCTGGAACCCGCTGGCCAGCAGCGGGCCCGTGCAGGCCCGAGGTTAAAGAAAGCCCTGCCTGGGGCGTCGGCCCCAGCCCAAGCCGTCTTGTGCTATAAATACAGCGTCCCACATGCTGCGGAGACACGGTGTTCCCACTGCTCGCCGGGACAGATAACATGAATTTGCCCTTTAAACGTCCCAAGCTGAAGGCACAGCCCCCGACCCACCCCTGCCTCCCGGAAGCGCCTTCGCCCCCTTTGCCCTCTGCAGAGGAGGGGGCCGGCCGCGGGGGTGTCCGAGCACCTGCCCAGCCAATGCGCACTGCGCGCACGGCTCCGGGGTCCCTCCTCCTCTCGCGAGAGGCCGGGCGGGGGATATAAGGAGGGATGCGGGGCGAGACAGGCGGCCCCTTCGCGTCGCGCAGGGACGGAGACGGGGTGGCGGTGCCTGGCCGGGCGGAGGCGAGAGCGAGAGCGCGGCTCCCGGAGGCTGTGTGCGCCCGGCTGTCATCATGGGTGATCAGGCTTTGAGCTTCATAAAGGATTTCCTGGCCGGCGGCATCGCCGCTGCCGTCTCCAAGACCGCGGTCGCCCCCATCGAGAGGGTCAAACTGCTGCTGCAGGTGAGCGCGGCGCGGGCGCGGGCGCGGCGAGCGGGGCGGACGGGCGCCGGGCGCGCGCCGGGCGCTGCGGGGCGCAGCGGCCAGAGGGGACCGGCGGGCGGGCCGCCGCAAATCTGCGCTAGGCCACAGGCCCGGCGCCCGGCCTACGTGAAGGGGAAGGTGCCCTCTGCGCAGACAGGTCCAGCGTCAGTAGCAGATTCCTGGTGTCGGGTGGCGCGCAGTGGCCGGGTGTCTATATATGGAAACCGACCCTGAGTGGGTTACAGCCAGCCAGATCCTGTGCCTGGGACAACGCTGGCACGCCACCGAGGCCTCGTAGGTCAGCCTCACCTTTCCACTTTCAATGCTCCTTGGACCTTTTCACCTGCACCCACCTTTTACAATAAGAGCCTCAAATTATTAGGGACCTCGCTTACTGTGTCTCGTGCGTTCTGCTGAGGCTGGCACGCATATATTTTCAGTCATTTTACTATAACCTCTAAGACAGGTATTGCCTCCTCCAGTTTTACAGATGAAGAAACAGATTTGAGGGATTAAGAAACAGTGTTTGGAAGACACTCGGCCTTCCTCGCTCACCCTCTCCCCAAGTCTCTCCCACTGCATCCTAGACCCTGAATGGCTTTATCGTCATCATCCCACTTGCCCTTTTTCTCCCCACTTGTCCAGAGGGCTTGGGCCCGCAGTGAGCCTCTCCGGTTTCGGAGTGCACACGATCCGTGACCAGAAAAGCCCCCACGAGTCGCTCACAACAGCAACGCACCCTCGGTAATTGGCAACTTGGATCACCTGCCTGACGATGTCCCGGCTGTAGGGCCTGGGGGATTTCTTCTCCCTCTGTGAGAACACCTGCTGCTCAGAGATCGCGGTCGGTCTCTCCGGCAGCTGGAGTGGTGCCTGTAGCGTCAGGGCCGGTGCCCTTCGGGGCGGGGTCTCCAGTCATTTCCCTGTCCCAGTGAGCCCCTGGCCCAGTTCTGGCACCTCCGGAAAATCCAGTCTACAAACGACTCTCTTCACGCAGTTAAATCGTCTTTTCCATGTATCTGGGCCAGAACATTTTCTCTCAGATTGAGGCAAAAGTGGATACTTTTGGCTTGTTACCCAAGTAGCTAACATGTTTATATACAATATTCAATTTCCTGCATACGTCTTTAAAAAGGGAATTCTGAGAAGTGCATGTTCCTTCTCTCCTGCCCTCTTCTCCTCCTCCCTCTGTCCTGCTCACCCTGACGCCCGACCCCTCCCCGGTGCCCTCCCCCACCCCACCCCCCACAGGTCCAGCACGCCAGCAAACAGATCAGTGCGGAGAAGCAGTACAAAGGGATCATTGACTGCGTGGTGAGAATCCCCAAGGAGCAAGGCTTCCTCTCCTTCTGGAGGGGTAACCTGGCCAACGTGATCCGTTACTTCCCCACCCAAGCTCTCAACTTCGCCTTCAAGGACAAGTACAAGCAGATCTTCCTGGGGGGCGTGGACCGGCATAAGCAGTTCTGGCGCTACTTCGCCGGGAACCTGGCGTCCGGCGGGGCAGCTGGGGCCACCTCCCTCTGCTTCGTCTACCCGCTGGACTTTGCTAGGACCAGGTTGGCCGCCGACGTGGGCAAGGGTGCCGCCCAGCGGGAGTTCAGTGGTCTGGGCGACTGTCTCACCAAGATCTTCAAGTCTGATGGCCTTCGGGGTCTCTACCAGGGTTTCAGCGTCTCTGTTCAGGGCATCATTATCTACAGAGCTGCCTACTTTGGAGTCTATGATACCGCCAAGGGTGAGAGAGGGGCCTTGGGGTGGGGGGGGGGCATGTGCGGCCTGGGGAGGAGGGGGCTGTGCAGAGAGAATCCTGGGGGGGTCTGCCACTGACAAAGGGCTTTATGCTCATCAGTCTTGTCTCTTCCTGGCCCCTGGGCGACGCCGAGGCTGTGAGTGAGCAGTGGCGTGGTGTGGGACCAGAGGAAGAGGATTCTCCTTGTCCTCTGCTGAAACAGACTCGGGCTTTGAGTCCTTCAGAGGAGGCAGGGGCAGACAAGCTGCCTCAAGGCCCTTCTGGTTACTGAGTAATAACACTTGAACCTGTCCTGCACGCCGCTGGGCAGAGCTCTGACCTCCCTAAGCCAGCCAGGGCAGCCTCCACCTTGTGCCCCTCGCTGCCGGCTTCTTTGGGAGGCACCCCCAGGGGGCAGGTTCTTCTGGAAGGGGCGGCGGGCGTGGAGCGGGAGGTCCGGCAGCCTCCTCCCCACCCCCGCCCGCCCTCCGCCCAGCTGCCGAGAGGAATCGCTTCACCGCCGTCTGGCTTCTTGGCTCCGCCCGCAGGGATGCTGCCTGACCCCAAGAACGTGCACATTATCGTGAGCTGGATGATCGCCCAGAGCGTGACGGCGGTGGCGGGGCTGGTGTCCTACCCCTTCGACACCGTGCGCCGTCGCATGATGATGCAGTCCGGCCGGAAAGGGGGTAAGCCTGGCGCCTGCCGGTCCACGCCGCGTTCGCGCTGCCCGGGAACACGGTCTGATACCGCTTCCGGCCCAGCCTAGTCTTGTTGTCAGACAGACGTCCGTGCTGGGAACTTGGGAAACATTGTCCGCTGCGTCTTTAGGGAATGTTGTTATCATACAGGTCAGAACACCAAACATGGGATGTTCAGAGACGAACGTACCTGGGTATCTGGCATGATGGCAGCCTTATGCCCTTTTTTTCTCTTAGATCCTGGTGAGAAGGGGAAAGAATTGAAATTGGTTGGTTTATTTGAAAATAATTCTTCCCTTATCTAGTTATTACAAGCAGGGAAGAGGGATGATTAGCTGGATGAGAGATGGCCGAAGCGGTCAGTTGTGATAGAAAAGGCACATTGGCTGCCGTAGGTGGCAGCCCATGAAATCGTCATTTTTAAAGTCAGAAGGTCCCGTGTTTGTTTCCTGTGGTTCAGCCGAGCAGTCGCAGCCCTTTTCACCGTGTGGGCCTGTGGGGGGGGGGCTGGTGTGACCGGAGACCAGGCCTCAGTCTTCTCATCCGCGGGAAAGCGCACGCCGCAGCGCAGTGCACCGCACCGCTGCTGTTCCACACTGCTCCCCCCCCCCGCTTTACAGCTCGGGGGTCTGCGGATGAGCTGGCTGACTGCCACATTCTTGAGTTCAAGGGGAAGGAGCGATAGGCAAGCCTGCCTGCCAGTTCTGCAGGGGAGGGGATTTCTCGTGGGCTGTTTTGGAGCTGGGCCTCGTTGCTCGAGTGACTGACTGAGAGCACTGCATGCTGATGCCTCTTGGAGGCCTAGCCGCTTCCCTCTAGAGTGACAGGGCCCCCCTGCCGCTTGCCTCCACAGCGGACATCATGTACACGGGGACCTTGGACTGCTGGAGGAAGATTGCCAAAGACGAGGGAGCCAAAGCCTTCTTCAAAGGGGCCTGGTCCAATGTGCTGCGAGGCATGGGCGGCGCCTTCGTACTGGTGTTGTATGACGAGATCAAAAAGTACGTCTAGTGGAATTAGAGCGCGTTCGTTGGTTCCAGACCCGGTGTGTGGTTTGATAGACTCTTCCTAGGGGAAGTAAAAAAGAAAGATCTGGGATAAAACCAGACTGAAAGGAATACCTCAGGAAAAAAAAAAAAAGAAAGAAAGAAAAGAGCTTCACTGAGTGTTCATTAAACCACGAATGTATTTTGTATTTATTTTACATTTAAATTCCCACAGAAAAGAGAACGTGTCATCCTTGTATAATGAACTGAAGAACTGATAATAAAGAACATAACTGAATGTGAAACCAATAAAGACCACTTAACGCATGTTCTCTGTTGAATTCTCACTAACTGCCACGGGGATTAAGACACACGCATGCCTGTGTTCTAGCCCAACTCTCACACGTCAGTGGCCCAGCTTCTCAGTGTCGAGTGTCATGCGTGTCTCATGTAAGTACCTACAGCGCTTAAAGTGTCGGCTGGCAACCTTGAACGGGTTACCCACTCTCTTCGCTCACTACCGCGTTGCTGTAGGCTCGGAAATGCTGGCCCAGGTCACGGCTTCCATAACCTCGCCGTACTCTGTGCACTTCCATGGTCTTCGGGAATCCCGCGCTCCCACGCAAAGCTGTAAGTCACAGTTTCGAGAGTTTTGCGTGAATAGGAAGTGCTTTGTATTAGCACCGTTAAAGAATTGGGAGATTTAGAGTTTTATGACGAGTGGACACTATGCACTGAAAATCACGTAGCAAGCTAGAATCTCGTGATGATTAGGTTCCATGGGAGACACGGGAAGACAGGAACCCATCCTCAGAGAGGCTTCAGTGGGGCCCTGGCTGGGTAGCTCTGTCGGGGCATCGTCCTGGTGCACCAAGGTTGTGGGCTCGGTCCCCGGTCAGGGCACGTACAAGAATCACCTAACGAGGGCATAAACAAGTGGAACAACAAACCAATGTTTCTCTCTCTCAAATCAATGAACTTTTTAAAAAGAAGTTTACATGGGCAGAGGAGCAAGGAGAGAAATGGCGTTGCTAAATGATGTCATGTTTCCTGTAATGAATCTTGGTTGAGTAGAAGGGGGGTTGAAGTGTGGGAAGTGGCAGGTGCACCTTCGAGGAAGATGACTGCATTTAGGTGCGTGGCTCTGGAAAAAGCATCTGCTTGTGTCCTGTACATGGGCAGAGCATGGACGTGCTAGCGTTCTTTTCTGTAACCATTTAGCAGGACCTAGTGGGAAAAGTCAGTTTTTGGGTTTGACTCATAAATGCGTGAGCGAGAGGAAAAGAATTATCATCTCAAGTGGGAAAGGAGGCACTTGGGCCCAGAAGACCAGACAGTTCACAGGGCCCTGGCTCCCTGAGTGCCCAGCAGGAGACGCGTCCCTCCACCCCATGTGAGGCCCAGGGACCAGGCATGGGTCTTGCTTCTCCTGACAGGAGGTTCGAGGGGTGTGGTGCCCTCCCCCACACCTCCTCCTCCTTCCCGTCCTTCCCCAGCCCTCCCACCCGCACAGCCCTGCAACCCCAGTAAGAAACCGGCTGCCCTGTTTCACCGCAGTAACTGAGGGCAGTGCTCTCCCGTACCCCCCAAAATTGTTGTGACTACAGGGCAGTGCTCTGCCCTCCTGCCATAAGTGGTCAAGGAGGATTAAAATTTTACGTAGAAGGAAGCCCTGCCTGACACCCAGCCCAGCCTAACAGAGACCTGAGAGACAAGGGGGCTGCCTCACGGGTGGCAGCCTACACACACACACGTTCAGGTTCAAGATCAACACACTTATTACTGTTAAGACCTAAGAGTTACCTTAGAAAACAAAGCATATCTATGATTTGTGAAGGATTTCTACATCGGCAGCCCAGGTAATGCAAACCAGTGCACCCTCTGGCGACACCTGGAAAAGGCGTTCAAACTGTCTGAGGTGCACCTGTTGGAGGGCACTGGGGGGTGAACGAGGTGCCGAAAATGACACCCCAGGAGGGAGTCTGACATCGCCCCCATCTGATACGTTTCCCCACGAGGGGGCTGCAAACCCTGAAAATGCGCCTGAAGGACTGACTGGGGCACGGGGGAGTCCGAAAGCCTCTCGGGGAGAAAAGAGCAAAAACAACACAAACGAATCCTCAGGCTGCCAAGGAAGGGGGAGCCTCGGTGACCCTGCTTTCATCAGGACCCAGAGGCTGCCGTCCCAGCAGCAGGGGTGACCTGGAAACAGGCGGGCTTGCCGTCACGGAAGCCAGCCTTCGGGTCACCCCAGTTTGAGGCAGGGGCGCTCCTGCGGCCTGCCAGAGGCGGGCGTCTGGGAGGAAATGTCATCCAGAGCAGGGGTTGGCGGACTTTCTCCCTGAGGGACCAGGCTGCCAGTGTGTGACTTTCATGTAGTATGTACCAGTCACAGAACATTCTTTTGATCTTAAAGCTCATTTAAAAAAGTTAAAGCCACCTACCCAGGCACTGAGCTGCCGAATTTGCCCACAGGCTGTCCCTTGCTGCCCGTGATCCAGCAGAGTTTCAAGGTTTTCCTGAAACTTTTCCTATCAACCCAAACCACAAATACAACCTTAAAACATCCAACTGAAAATATAAAGCACGCCTTACTTTAAAAGTGGGAATCACAATGGAAGCCCGAAAATATTTTGAACTTGCTAAAAATACCATGCTATCCAAACTTGTGAGAAACGGCTAAAACTATGCTAAGAATTTACAGCCTTCAATGCATCTATTAGAAAGAAGGCTGAAAACCAGTGAACTACACTTCCATTTCAAGAAGCCAGGAAAACGACAGCACACGAAACCCAAAGACTGGAAGGAAATAACTAAGGTGACAGAGTCAGCAAGAAAGAGACAGTCGGTAGCACCCAGGGAACTGCAAGTCTAAGTGTGAAAGGCAGGATTTCCAGGACGTAGTGGGACTACCTTCACACCCTCAGGTAAATGAAAACTTCATAAAATCTAACATTTAACAAAAGTGCTAACCATAAAAGAAAAGATTGGTAAAGTGGACTAAATAAAATTCAAAAAAATTTTTTTTAATATTTTATTCATTTCTTTTTAGAGAGGAAGGGAGGGAGAGAGCGGGAGAGAAACATCAATGTGTGGTTGCCTCTTGTGCCCCCCCACTTGGGGACCCGGCCTGCAACCCAGGCATGTGCCCTAACTGGGAATTGAACCTGCGACCCTTTGGTTCTCAGACCTGCACCCAATCCACTGAGCTACACCAGCCAGGAAAATTCAAAATTTCTGTTCAGAGAGCCCATTCAGAGTGAAAAGGTAAGCCAGACTAGGAAAAAACATTTTTATTGTACCATCACTCTCACCGGAACTGCAGTGTATTTAGAATATATAACTGCTCCTATAATCTGTAAGAAAAAGACATTCAACCAATAGAAAAACAGGCAAGAAAAAAAAACCCCCACCCTTGAAAAAGTACTCCCCAATGTGCAATAAACAAGAAAAAGTGTCCAAGCAGATGTAAGGCGTGCAATTACAAAGTCGCAATGTGCATTCCATACCCACCACAAAGGCTGAACTTGAAAATGACCGGCACTACATTCTGCGAGGACACGGAGCACAGGGTTCAAGGAACACGCACACTCCTGTGGGAGAGTAAACTGGGCCGCACTTTGGAGAGCTCCGGCTTTAGCCACTGAATCTGTGGGTGTTAGGACCCAGCAACTCCACGCCGACGAATATGCCCAACGGAAGTCCATGCACAGGTACTCGGGACACACCTCCAAAGTCCTCATGTCGTTATTTGTAACAGTTAAAACCTGGAAACCACCTCAAGGGACCATAAACCACCGAGTGAATGAGTAAGTCCTGGTACAGTCAGACTAGGACACGGCAACGAGAAGGAATTCCAGCTACGAGACAGCATGGAAACATCTCCCGGACATCAACAGGCCCAGCAAAAGCAGCCAGGCATAAAAGGATATAATTCCATTCGTAGGACATTAAAAAAAACTCCAGACCAAACGACACTGCGGCGTTCAACGTGAGGGCGGCAGTTACCTTTTGGCAGACAGAGGGAGTGATGGCTGGCAGGGAGCCCCCGGGATCTGGGGGTTCTAGCGCGGGAACGGTACTTGAGTGGGGGCCCGGGGGTTTGCTCTGGGTTGTTGCACGGGTTGTACGTGTATGCTAGGGGCCCTCTGCTGTGTTTCTGGACCACCTCGACCACCACCAGCTATTCACAGAACTCGGGAAGACGCCATGTTCCCGCAGACACCTGACTCAAGGGCCACGTCCCTCTCACAGTCTCCAAAAGGGAACTTAAAACGAAAGCTTCTCAGTGCTTTTTTCTAGTTAGTATACATAACTACACGGGGAAGCAGATGTATTTACTCATGGTTCTGTATTTTTTTTATCAAATATAAAGATTCTCAATGCAATGAAGAAAGCAAAGCACCCTCCAGACCCGGAGACCAGCTGGCATCCCCACGCGTGAAACACGCGTGGTGTCCTTGTTGTGGAGACTGTCACCGTGAGACACGTGCTGTACATTCAGGGCCAGAGTTTTTAAACCATCCTTTGGTGACTATCCAAATTCTCTCACTTAACAGCAACATGAAATTAGGTTCATAGGAAAACACCCTCATTAAGTTTCTGTAAAAGGACGTTACTTCCTAAATTGATGCCTGAACAGCAAGTTTTAAAATGGGTATTTCTTGTCACTCACAACATGTGTGAAATGTTGCTATAGGTGACGGATACTTTTAGAAGGCACTCCTTTAATCTGTAACAAAGTGTCCATTGCAGCATCGTAACAATTTTACAGAAATCAGATAACTTGTTTTAGAATGGGATTTCAAGCAAACTTTTTTTTAAAGATTCATTTATTTTTAGAGAGGGAAGGGAGGGAGAAAGAGAGAGAGAGAAATATCAACGTGTGGTTGCTGGGGGCCATGGCCTGCAACCCGGGCACGTGCCCTGGCTGGGAATCGAACCTGTGATGCTTTGGTTTGCAGCCCGCACTCAATCCACAGAGCTACACCAGCCAGGGCCAAACTCTTTAGAAATTCTATTAAACAGCACCCTCCTTCCATCTTCATTTTCACCAATTCTTAGTCTTGCGTGGCACGTAAAGGCTATAACTATAAATTTTCAATGGGAAGAAGACCATGAATTTGAGAGAGAAACGTAGTCTCAAAACTCAGTTATCGTTAATTCTTTTATTTGTTTTCATTATGCCAAGCTAGTTCTTGATGACTAAAACACATCACAACAGACTGAAAAGTTTAAGAAGCGTACTGATTTTTCAGTTTCTTGCTGATCTCCATCCATGGAAGTTAAAGTAGTCATTAGCATTAAGCACATTTTCTAGGATGTTA